TTCATGGCCATGAATTTCATACATCAAGGGAACCAAAAGAATAGTATGTAGACAACTCCATGCAGAAAAAGGGTAACCCAAGTCAGCTTTCTTGACATATATTTCCCGCTGCACTTAGTAAAATCACATTCACTTTGGATGTTTCCTATGAATAAAACTACCAGTCCAGAACACCCCCAGCACCCTGCTGATCCCTGCGGTTTGCCAGCAACACAAATTTTTACAGGTCATGATTACCAAGCATAGAGGGAAGACTAAGATGAATAGCCCCCGCTCCTCAGGCTTTCAAAAGGTATGTGGCACAAGGCTGATATTGAGCGAAGACCTTCAGAGCACTACACTATAAAACAGCTTCTGCAAGATGCTTGCACAATCATCTTATCTAGTGGAACAAGGTTGGTATCGAGTGAACACCTTCAGAGCACTACACTATAAAACAGCTTCTGCAAGATGCTTGCACAATCTTATCTACAGTAGCCAATGATTATCTGCTGCATCTGTTGGAAGGAGCATAAAAACCACTGACTAAAAACCCTTCTCCAAGGCCAGAGACATGAACCCAGGGATGCAGGGAAGACTCTCAAGCTTGTATTTCTCAGGATTTCCAGGCGCGACTCCTAAGGCTCTCAGCCAGCATCGAATAAAAGTGTTCCTTGCTCTTCTGGTCTATGGAAATCTACCCTGACAGGGAACAAGATGATGAACTACCGTCTAAACCTAAGGACAAAATGAGAAGAGCAGCAGCAGGCAATGCAAACAAAAAAACCCATATAGATAGAGGCTATTGAGTGTTGAAAAAATATCAGCCTTTTGTGCTGGACTAAGTGCAAGGTCAGTGCATTGACTGAATGTTCACCACTTGCCCCCCCTCTCCCATGAGGAAGTACTGGGGTGGAGATCTGTGAACTTAGGACTTGAATCACAAGTGATTAGACAATGCTAACCCTTAGCTGAAGGAGCCTGGCCTTTGACCAGGACATTCAGACTAATAATTCAGTCCTAGAGAAGTGGGGTTTTTAATGTCTACAGTTGTAATAACTGTATGACCAGAGCAGATGGGAGTTCCGGCAGGAAGGATCTATACATAGGACCAAGTGCATCCTTATTGTGCTTGCTATAGTCTGTTCAGATGAGTTAGGCAGTGAAATCCCTTCTCAGCCACACAAGGTTGTGCCTCCAGGTTCATAGGAAGAGAGTGGTGATTCTGGGAGAATACACCATGGAGTTATACGTGCGCCAGGAATATGCCTTCTTCTTGCAGGAACACACTCCCATTAGGACCGCATGCAGGTCCTCATCATATGATCTGCTGAGTTAATAAACAGATGGGAGTTAGCTCATAGCCATTTCTCTCCCCTGACTGCAAGAATGTGAAAGACAAGGCAGGACAGAGCAGGCAGCTATGAGTGTATTCTGATCTGATTTACACTTCTCCTGCTATTCCATTGAGTTCAACATAAAACATCTAGGGTATGTCTACAGGCAGATCCACTTCTGTCTCCCGTTTGAGCTGGCTGATGAGAACCAGACTATTATTCCTGGTTTAAAGTGTGTGTATAGGTCCCAAGTCGTAATTTCTGTCCTGCACAAATTTTCCACTAACAAGAGAGAAGAAAAAGCTGTTTACGAATGAAAGGGACTATTGTTTTGTCCTCAGAGGGTCTTTTAGTGCTATCAGAAAGGCTGCAACTGTGCAACAGCAGGAGGAACCCTGCAAGGGTATTGTCCTTCACACACCAGTGAACCTCCTCCCAGCAAGGACACTGCAAGTCCTGAGATCTGATGCTACGATATAATGTTGAGTGAGACCAGTTTTCCCTGGGCTGTGCTAACTGAAGCAATCCATGCATTTAAGTTCCTACTTCAGCCCTGAAATTTCTAATGGTCACACTCCCTTCATGCTTCATTTTTATGTAGCATTGGAACTCGCACCAATCAAGCTGTTTTATACCTCAAGAACAGGCTTTACTTCCCAAGATTAAGTTGACACAAGTTTTGAGCAGTTTCCAGAAGAAAATGATGAGATCCTGTTTTTACAGGGTTGATGTGAAAGATTAAAAACTGATTTTATTGAGTGGCACAAAAGATGCTAACAAATGCAGTATATACACAATTGCACAATAGAAAACACTTCTTTGAAAGGTTTTTCCCTAGCATTCATTTTAACAAACAGCTGCAAAACTGCTACATAGCCTCAGAAGCTTTTGCTTGAAGAGCAGGCAAACAATCTCATCTTGCAGTTACATTTTCCTATTTGGATTTATGGCAAGCAAGAGACATACCTGAGTGCTCTGCAGTCTTGCTTTGGTTCTGATGCTACAGAACTACTCAGCACCTGCTACTCCCCCTTAGCACTATGCACATCTGGCACTTCTGAAAACTGAAACTGTGAGGGGGGATGATCACTGCCTGGTAACAGAGGAGATAGTAGAGTGAAACATGTAATTTTGGAAGCCTTATCAGACAGAGTCACTGACAGATGGTTACAGAAAACTCCAGTTTTAAGTATTAAATAGCATTTTTCTGCAGATATTAAATTATAAAAAAGACAAGGGCAGCTCAGAACTACAATAATTTGTTGGAAATAAGTTCAAGTCTGGAAATATCAAATTATCTTCTCTGCTGCAGTTGTTTAGACTTGCTCATTGCTTAAAGAAATCAGTTTATACCAAAGCAGCAAAGAAGAAGTAAAAAAAAAAGTCTTGCTCAATATTCACAACTTATTTCTGAACAGACAGTGCACCATTTTTGGTTAGCTCTGTTTTCCATGCATATTTGTCCCTGCCAGGAAAATATCTGAAAAAGCACTCTGCCTTCCACACTTTCGATGATGTTTAACGTAAAAGCCCTAAAAGAGGGACTTAGTGACAGATTTTCAAAGGGCCTGGACTTGACCCTAAGAAACTGGATTTTATTTGCATCCACAACATGTTAAGCTCTGCCCTTGCAAATAAAATTTCTGCTTTTTTTGTGGCTTCAATAAGCAATACAGTAAAGCTTGAAATTTTACCTTGAAACTTTAGAGAAAACAGCACTCTTACTTTGCTTTTTAAGAAGACAAAAAAGGGAAGCATAAGAATTAGAAACCACTTCAAAGAGGCAGCTGCAAGCCTCATGTGTCACTGCTGAGAAGCAGAAATCCTGGACCAGCAGAACTCCCAGCCTAAAATCTTCTAAAAGATGATAACTTGCCCTAAAGGAAATCACTTGCCATAGGGACAGACTTCAATACAGTGAAAGAGTAAGTGACTCACCATTCTCCATTCTGCATCTTTGCAAAAGCCAAATATTCCACCAGGACTCATCAGCTCTGCATCACTTGCCTCCTACATGCCATTACTGACCTCATTTGTGTGAGGTATTATTTAAGTTGTCTGCTAAATAAAACAGGGCAGTGATTTTTGATCTTCTATTTTTCATGATTCGCACACCTATACATTTTCTTCTACAGCCCTGCATAGCAAAATCAATACTCCTCACGACAGCTATGCTTCATTTTTTTTCAAATACCTGTAACTAGTGCATGGTCCTTGGTTTGATAAAGACTGCTATTTTCTGATTGCCAGTGTGGGAAAATTTTAAAGCAGAAGGCTACTCAAATAAGACATCCTAACAGGGTAAACTGTCCTCTCAAGCTCCTGTATCTTCCCCTGCTTCAGACGCACTGAAATCTCTCAAGGGCCTATATTTGAATATTTCTAAAAGTCATTTTTTCTGTGGTTCCACTTCATACTGGTAAAACAGTATGTCTTAACTGCTAGATTTTATTTAACTGCGTGTTCTGATTCTTCACTTAGGAGCCATTATGACAACTTGGAAATGTATTTTTACCATCTCCATCCAAGTAGAACTTCTCACCAACTTTTTTGAAACTGAGAAAGTTATCAATTAATTAGGCTCCAGTGACCCTTTTCTATTCTGCAGCCTTTATGGGCAAGGAATTGGCAGATTAGGATGTGACAAGCACTCCTTATTCAAACTTCAGTGAGGCAAGAACTATTTAATCTGAATTCTGTGACAAAATGAATCTTTTAAGGCTGTCAGCAAATGAACAAGTAACCAAAGGGTAAGAAGATACAAGGCCTCATCTCATATATATTGATTTTTTGTATATGTTTCTTTTCTGTGCTGTAAAAGTGAGGCCATTTGAGGTACTTCATTTCTCTCCTACTGTGCAAACTTGTTTTTTTTGTCTGAGACCTGAATGTTTCATCAAATATGCAGTCTTTGTTGAGGTGGCTGATGTCAGCAAAGAGAGCAGTAGGGGATTTGTTTGTGCGACAAAGTTGCTCCTCCTATGGAAAACACTCCAGCTGTTTTCACTGGCATTATCCTTCCCTCTACAAGCATTTTAAAGGCACAGCTCAAACTGTGCCAGTTGTGAAAAGGGGAGAGTAAGAAAACATCCCTGCAATTTCAGGGAACTTTGCTGTTACATAAAGTGTTTGGCAGCTGCAAGGACAGCCAGAGGTGTTCTGTAGCCCATGATCTGGGGTTATCACATGCTTGTGCACATGCTTTGCAAAGAACTGAAGCTCAAACTGGTCTTGGTTAATTTCCTAACTGGTTGTCAGCAGCAGCCCTGTGCTCTCTTGTAATATGGAAACACAATAGGCTCTAACTAGCATTTCAGTTTTCTGCTGGTCAGCTAAAGCCAAGCCTCAGGTCATTCACAGTCTGAGAGGCGGAGGCATGCTGGGGAGACATGTTAGCGGTAATGGCTGCAGAAGGCCAGGCTAGGTGACAGCAAAGGAGAGAAAGAGGGGCTTCCAGGATTAGAGCCTCTACCACAAAGAGGCAGTGGCTGATGGCCACAGTGGAAACAAGTGACTTGGGCAACAGCAGAAACCAGAAAAGGCAGGGAAGTCTGGAGGCTAGAGCTTCCTGTGCCACCTTCTCCTTTTGAGGATGAGCTGCTACCTCTTCCTCTGCCTGTGTGAGGGGAATAGCTCTGGCATCCAAATAACAGCCACAAATGTAGAGAGAGCTAGGTGGAAATGCCTCTATGAGAGGGTGAAGAACCTCATGCATCTGAAGACATGGCAAGTGCTCTGAAATAACCCACTGAAGCATGTGTGAAGAACTGACGGTGAAGCAGTGATCCTTTACTTCATGCTCTGGACATGTCTGGTTGCTGTGCTCTTCTCCATCAAACCATTATGTCAAGACAGCCTGTCAGCTGAGGCAGGCAGTTCACTCTCAGACAGGTCCTCCTTGTGCCTTTGCTGCCATCCTCACTCACACAGTGAAGCAATGGTGTTGTTCCTGCTGCAGTTTGTGACTTCTATAAATCTTTGGTTGTCCTAGCCGTTAGCTCAGTGTAAAATAGGGAATAATAAATATTTATTCCCATAATTCCTACTTAAGAAGCTGCATTCCCGTCCTACTGCAGCCTCTTACAATTGTACCACTTGGGTTATCAGTTGTGGCTGTTTAATAACAGTGTCTTTCGAGCTCTGAAGAGTTAATAGGGGCAGTTGCTTCTAACTTGCATTCCTAACTTGCTTCATCAGGTCCTTTCAATACTCCCTCCTCAGCCTGGGAGGAGTTTATTTTTCTGGAGAGTTGTCATTTGCAGGGAGCATACACCAGTCAGTCACCAAGCCAGGCACCACTCTTCAGAGTCACTTGAAAGCTTCAACATACTTCACAGGAAGAGAGGACAGGCCTGCCTTTCCCCAGTAGTCAATGGCACGCACTCTGTAAAAGCCGGAGACTGAGCTTCCTGCAAATGAAAAGGTTAGAAATGGTCACTGTGAAAGGCTGACACCTGTGGTGCTTGGAGGATGAGAAGCAGGCAGTACTCCTATAAAATGTAGCTCTGTGGAATGGGCTAGGGAAGCGGTGAAATCAGTTCTGTACTCTATGTAAGTGTGTCTGTGCCTGTCTAACTAAAAATGATTGTAAATTCCTCATGGTCAAGTACTGGGTTGCACCAAGGACCTCCTCTCTCCTCATTAGGATTTGCAAATACAGCTACTTCCAGTCCCTTTGGAAGAAGGCTATAACACCTTCTGCAACACACAACTAGTAATTTCCTTTTTTCTGACTTACTTTTTTGCCTGAATTGTGCCTTTGGAACAGGTTATCTGGGAACAGGATCAAGAAAGAAGTAGAACAAGAAGCTGACTGAAAACTCTCTGCTCAACTCAGGAAGCAGCACCACTTGCTCCAAAGGTATGTGAGTTGATATTCTGTGGCTCTGCTGGTTTTCATCTTTGATCCAGTTTGAAGAACACAGCCTTCACTAGCAGAGTCTTTAACCTCACAAGCAATATAAATGTTTTTTTCTCATCTATTTACTTGATTTTTATGTGTGCTTTAGTATTTAATTTTTTTCCTAAAACAAAAAGAATGCTAGAAATAATGACTGAGAAGGAAGTACCTGGCAATAAAGGCTGCTGAGAGGTGAGACTTTTTCAAGCAGTCTTTTTTGGTTTTGAAACAAATAATTGAATCTGGTAGGTTGCCCAGATGTGCAGCACTAGATGATAATGAATCCTAATTTCAGAGATTTGCCTTAGCCATGATTTACAGTCTTTGCTTACCTGTGTAGCCTCTACATTGCAATAATAGCTCTGAACTTTATTATGCACCCATTGCTGATGCTGAGCCTGTCTAAGGCTAAAATGAGCTTGTGTTTCTGGTAAAAACCTCTCTGAATTGTTCTTTATTAGTATCACTTTAAGGCAAGGTCTGTGTGTGTTTCACTCAGCTCTGACCAGTGCTTATCAGTAATACTTGCTGGACAGTCACATTGTGGATTAGACCACATTTGGTCGAAAAAGCCCAAAAAACAACAAAAAAAATACCCAAAGAAAATATCACTACCTTCTTTCAGCATTTTTCATTGGGTTATGTTTTTACTGCATCTAGGCTCTACTTGAGGAGAAATGACCACAGGCTCTGGGAGAAGCTTTGCCTGTTTACAAAGATGAAACTCACTGCCCTCTAATGTGAAACATCTAAAACTTAGGCAGCTAGTCAGGGCTAACAAGAAAGCTCTAGGAAACAGGAAAGAGAGGAGTCTCTCCTTGGCTAGGTGTTCAGATAGCCAGGACAAACTGTCCTACAGGAGGGCCTCTTCTGTTCTTACAAGGGAGCACCTCAACAGCTTAAGATTGCCAAGCCATAAAAGGGTACGGGAACAGGGACAGGTGACCATGATGACAGTAGAACTGCAGCCTTCCCCTGGAGCATCTTAGAACACGATAAATGCAAGACAACCAACCGCTCCATGAAAGGTGGAAGTGACCTCTCACTTATTTATGTGTTGATGCCATATCCTTACGTAGTCTAACACCTCAAGATTCAGTGCTACAAAATAAGTGTTACCAAGGCAGTTTCCTCCTACTGCCCTACCCCAAGAGCATTGTACAAATTTAGGCAAAGGCATGGACAATACCTGTGGGACTGAGATTAAACCTCAGACTTGTCATGCTGTGAGTCTAGTACCAACAGCACAACACCAAGGTCTGGTCATGTGGAGCAATTTTTTTTTTGTTCTTATTTTTGCCTGCTTCTACAGCAGCTACAAATAGAGACAAAAGTGCTGCTTTGCCTCTCAGGGAACTTGCCAGGCCCTCAGCTCAGTGACTTTGGTTTCTGTGACAAGGAATTGACTCATGGCAATAATACTAATAATGTCCTCATGACTATTTGTCAATTAGTGCTTGTCCTTGAGAATAAGGCTTTCACTGAGAACGTGGTCCTAAAGGACCTATTTGTGACAGGGGTGTATGTCACTAGCAAGCTACGTAACTTCAGTAGTTACTAAATGATGTTTCGCACACTCATGAGTGGGACTATTAACATGACAGATTACATAGTATGCGTATTCTTGCCTCTACCCGGACTGTAGACCCAGAGAGTGAATATTGTGTCTTTGGCATTAATCCGCTGGTATGCTTTTCCATCTGGTGAGAACTCCACTTCAAATGTCTTTATACATCTAGAAAAGAAAACCAGACAGCTCAGTAAATACAACTGATAATGTGGTGAGCAATCAAATCCTACTCTCAGGACCATTTCAACAAAGAGGGCCAAAAGTAGGAAATACTCAGTTGACTCATTCCTATCAAACGTGGGAATTCTCAGTATAAGGAAGAACCACAGCTCCAACAGCCCACAGAAGAATAACCAGGCTGACTTGCTATATTGGGTACTTGCAGCATTGCATACTGTTAAGTATCTTTTACTCCCAAACCAGGGTTATCAAGGCTGAAGACTAGCCTGAAAAAGAGCTAACTCAGTCCTTCCTCAGGGAGTCTGGATGTACACTGGATCGCCTCTAACAGTTCACCTACAGAGGGCTTCCAGTCTAATACATCTTGCTAGAGCAAGGAACTTGAGGTTATCTCTTCCAGTTCACATCCCTTACAGGGATGTGCAAGATCCCACCTAGGCACCTGCTGCTAATAACAACTCTTATCATGGATCTTCCTGACTGCTATGCTGAAAGCAAGTCCCTCAAAAATGCCATTGGATACTAGTAAGCAACAGGCAGATTCCCTTGCTCAGACCGCAAATTAGTCAGGGTTGCTCTCCGTAGTTACTGCATGTAGGTCCTACAGTTCATTTTGTCAGACAAGTGCACTGTAGCATCCCTCAAGGAGCAAGCCGTCATTAATTTGTGAACTTGTTTCACTTTGTAGGACTGGTGGCAACTTAGGGAGTAATGGGCTGGTAAATTGGTTATACAGATTTTATTTTAAAAGCTACTTACTTTGACTTTACACAGCCGTCATCCCACAACACAATGACCTGCCCCTTTGTGAGAGCGATCAAGCGAACATCGGTCACCTGTCCAGAGACACATGCCCATGTAAGAAAACTGTACAAACCAATCAGTCAGGTCAGATTTGTGTGTTCATCCTTCCTTACTAATTATTGGCTTTCATTCTTTCCATTGAGATCAGAGGAAAAAACAAAATTCCTGGCCCTGTGGCTTTGTAGCCTATGTCTCCAACCTGTCAGCCTTGCAGAGGACCTTCAGAGGTTCTGGGCATCACTATGAACATGGGTGGGACTGAATGAGTAGATACAGAAGTCTAACCAATGACATCCATGATTCCATTTTATTTTTAGCTATCAGTTATTAACTGGAGAGCTGTTGTCAAGCCTGGTAGCACATGATGTGATTTTAAAAAGGATACTGTACTTTCCAGTACTGCATTATTATTTTCCCACCATGGATAAACTTACATTTATCTCAGTGATGGCTTCTATCACTTGCTATGAAATGCTTTATCTTGAATCGTGCCTTAGAGAGCCTTCTCATCAAAGGAGAGAAGAATTGTTTATTTACTAAGTCTTACTTTTAACAAATAATAGTCCCAAATGCTAGCCCAGCTCTTCTTGGTGAGACTTAAAGGAGGAAGCAGCTTCTAATTTGGTGAGTCTGACAGTAGAATACAACACATACTTGGTCAGGAACAGATCTGGGTCTTGCACAGATGTGGATAAGAAAGACTGAGGGAATGGGAAAGTCTTGCTTCAGTGTCAGGATGCCACCTTCAGGAAAAGGGAATGGGCCTGCTGCCACCGGGTCCTGTGGAGCCAAAGAGAAGTGTTGTGAATAATCTTTCATACAGCACCTAAAGGCCAACTGTATCAGTAAAGTGACCGTGTATTACTTTGGGGCTGTAAATTTCCAATAGAGTTGGTGTTGATAAGTGGCTTACAGCCATCAAAGTTCTTCAACCTGGGCGACTTTTCTGCCTCACCTGTTTTCTAGCTCTTCAGGAAACAGAGAGTTTGTCCATCTCACAAAGTGGGTTGATCACAAATGCCCTTTAGGCGCGATCTGTCACTTCTAGTAACCTCCCACGGATGCCTTTCAGGCTAGTGGTCTTTACAAACCACACACCTGTCTCTTAGCTATGGATTCCCAGTGTGCAGTGAAAGCTATTGCTAGCAACGACAGCCACTCAGCTGGTCTCTGAGAATGAGGTTTCACCAGATGGCCAAGGACATCTAAAACCTTGCTGCTGCCCTGTTGAAGGAAGATCTGATGGCTCCTATAGTATCTCACAGGCCTTAGCAATAGTGGGTTACGGTGACTGAGAAAAGAAGACATAGTACTGTACACGAAAGTCAGAAGGCAATTACTGTCTATGGGTCCCAAAGGGCATAAAGGTAGCCTCCTTTATTTTAACCTGTGGGTCTGAATGCATAGAGAAACTATGGGAGAGGGAGCTTAAGCGACAGGCTGCTCACATATTCTCACATACAGTAAGTAATCTGGGCATGGCTTTTCTCAGTGGGGAAGAGAGGAGTCCTTACTCTTCAGTCCCCTCTGGGGTGCATTCAGAACTGGTGAGGATGAGGGGAAACTGCAGACTTCCCTGTGAGCCCCTCAGAGATGCCAAGTGTCTTCCCAACTTGCACTGGATAGTTTTCACCTCAGGGAGCTGTATGTTTTCTCTTATTCAGGGGAGTTCATTTCAACTCTCTAATTCAGGAATTTGGCCCTTCTGTAATATACATAGGGCCATGTGACTTATTTGGGGAGACTGAACAGAAGGGGTTTCAAAGCTCAGTGAAATTTCATAGAGAAGGTGAAACTTCCTCTGGAGCAACTCTGCCTCCTGAGTTGAGGGTAGGTCAGTAGCAAAGAGGTTAGTCACCTACATTTAATCCCTTATATAACATAAATGCAAAGCTATCAGTTATGCATCAGCTACATTTCTCTGCATGACTGCAAGTGCATTTTCATATGTATACTAGATGCGCATGACTGTGGGCTAAGGAAATTCTGACTACCTGTGCTCATTTCTTGTCTCTCTAGTTGTAGTTAACCAATTCACACGCACTTTACCCATACAACACTTCAAGCAAACACATGGTCATACCTCAGCATCCCTTATTTGCTGGAACTGTTCTGGCAAAGGAAAGTCAGGGCTTCCTAGCTTTTTCCATTTCAGGTAGGGATTGGTTTGGTTGTTATCCAGGTAATATGTCACATACACCAGCTCTTTAGGAACACAAATGAAAGAGAGTAAACTCTTTACTTGGATTTAAAGGTTAACAATAAATTTATCAGAAGGTGCTTGCTTAAGTCTAGCTTCTCAAAAGTGACTTCAGCACTTCGAAGCCTGGCTTCCACTGGAAAGTCACGAAGCTAGCACTCTTACAAGGCTCTACAATTTGTATTTGCCAAGTTTAAATTTCAAGCTATTACTTCCATAACCAGAATTTAAACCCTCTTATTTTTTGCACAGGTGCCGCACACATTTGTTGGACAACTGCATCAACTGTGTAATCATGTGGTCATGTTGGCTGTCTCAGAGTCATCCCAGTAAGGGAATTGTTGCCTGGCAATATCCAGCCAAGGACACTGAGATTAATAGCTTTCCAAAAAGGCAGCACTTGCAGCTGCCATTAAAGGCAGCGTCAAAGTGCAGGCATTAGGAAAGAACCGTTCCTAGAAGAGCACCATCATGTCTCAGAAAATCCGGGAGTGCCCAAAAGATGAGAGAGAAAGGTAGCAAATGAAACTCACTCTTGCAATGAAAGGCAACTCAGCAGAAGTGTTTCAGCAGACGTTCTATCCTAAAGATCAATTACCTGAGCTGCCTACATGATGTTTGTTTACCTCTAAGTTTGGGGAAGTGGGTGGCGTTCACTGTGATGGTGCTGATGTTGGATGAAGTCCTGTTATCCTCACTTGCATACACCAGTACTGTAGCTTGCCAGCTGTCTGAAGGCTGCATCTCACTTGGGGTGTGCACAGATGCCAGGACACCAACCGTGCTGTTTTGAGTGCTTTCTCCTTCACTGCTATTCACTTCTGCAAAAATCTGCTTTTCTCCTTTAAAAAATGTGACAATTCTGTAAGCATCACTGCTAGTCAGTCCTGTATCAGCTTCTGATACAGGAAGAACCAAAACATGGGGATCTATAGGGTCAGCTATGTTCTGGCTTATTTTACCAGGTACAGCATTCAGTCAAGCTTATTTTACAATAGCAAAGCATGCATATACTACAGCAGTTCTTATGCTTAGGAGTTCAGCTAGCAACATCTAAGCATGTAACAGTGAATTAGGATCTTCCTTTAGTGTGCTGCATGGGTCTTCCAGCTGTGGGGACTTCTTAAAGACATTTGCACCTTGATGTGATGGCACAAGAGGGAAGTACTGGTCCACAAAAAAGAAGTGGTTGGCATACAGAGGGTAGAAACAAAGCAGTAAATTAAATAAAATGGATAACAGACTGTCAGGAACATCTCCTGAACTATTAATTTCTCAGCTGAAATGTCATTTCATTTTCTTAACACAGCTGGTAAACAGAGGGTAGGAGAAATCTTGCTTTTATCGATGATGGGATGGCTTGAATAATCTCTCTTAGGCAGGGATCTTCTATGTAAAAGAAGTTATTGGTGTACTCTTTAATCTTACTATACCTAGCAGTGCCAGCAAGCCCATGACAGTCAGCACTGGTTTCCGCACCATCTGGACATGAGGTGGCTTTGTATTGTTCATCTGAAAACGTGCTGTCAGAGTCCGTTGTGTGAAGTAATGGGGGTAGTAACTCAAGAAGGCATTGTCATTACTCAGCAGTGTGTAGTTGATGGTGTTGTTGGCTTTGGAAATGAGCAGGTTTTGATGCTGGATGATTACCTGCAAAGTCATAGAGAAGATTGAACTTCACCCTGGAGAAAATCCAATAAACACACAATGTCTATTTTTTAAAAATCTTTACAGCATATTGAAAAGAGCTCTCACTCTGCCACTCAGAAAAGTTTGAAGAACTAAAGTGTTCCTCACTACTCTTGGAGAAACTATTCTTTAGGTGATACATTAATCACTGGAAAATTGGAAGTATCCACATAGTTTTGCCAGTAAAAAGTCTCTGAAATAACTATTATCAGTAGTCTGCCTAAATTATGAACGTATTTCCTTGGCTACTGCACCACAAATTATACTCCTCTGTCTTGAATATTAAGTTACTAATCTGGATTTACCATCTGAATTAAATCTAAACAGTTCTCCAATTCTGGAGTTACCTTGTACCCATTACACAAGTGTCTTGGAGGTGGTCCTGGATTCTCTCCCTCAATGAGTCATTTTACCCACTTGATGCTAACATGGAATTAGTTCTCCTGGTCTTTCACTGGTTGCTGTGCTGCTTTCCTGCAAAATGTCAGAGCTCCCAAGCTCTCCATTTACCAGATTGTGCCTAAGTATCAGAATCAAACAGAACTTCAGAAGGCTGACTACTGAAAAGGTCTCATAATTGTGTCCCTGATGTAACACAGGGCTCCAGCTCCTATTCACCCAAGTGTTAATTTTCCATTGGATGTGTCTTTTTTTCTCCCTTCATATCATCATGTCATTATAAACACTGCTGTTTGCTCTCACAAACTCCCTGCAACGCAGTCAGTGACTTGTTGCTTTGGAGAAGACTATTTCTGTATGCAGACTAAAGGAGCTGGGAGCCTTTGTCTCCACAGGAGCAGCTGTTAAGACCTGTCTTGTTTCTGGGTGACACACATGCTCCCAGCTTTGGGAATTACTACTTTGCACAGGAGTGGTTGGACTCTGGATGGTGTGTGTATAAGGTAGTGGCTCACAAAGCAACAGGCCTGCAGTGGGAACCATTGCTATGCAGAGGCAAGAGCTGAGCTTGCTCTAGAGCCAGACTACAATTTCTGCAGCGCCAGGAACGCTGAGCATTCTCTTCTCCTTCTGCTTTTCTGATTAACAGCAGTAATTACTAGCAGTAATCAGTAAGACCATGCATACAGTCATTATCCAAAACCAAAGAATGGGCTTATGCTGAGAGCTCAAAGGACTTGTTAATTATACCTGATGTCTCTTGATGAGATAAACTTATGAAGGAGATAGGAAATAATGTCTCACATAAGTCTCACATAGCTACCAGTAGTGAGATGATAGCAGTACTATTACATGGAGAGAGGATGTATGGGTATAGTCTTATCAGGTGGATCTCGCTGGATCTAGTATCTGACACATTCTCCAATACATGGAGGGCTAGTTCTCAGTTAAAAGGAAGATGAAGAAGACTAATACAAACTAAATAAAGCTGCTGAAAACAGACTATTCAGGAAAACCCCAGCTGCATCAATAGGGAGCTCTCCTCTAGTTGGATCTATTACTCTGAGTAGCTGCTTAAAAATTGACTGATAGTCTAGTTCTGCAACTGCATTGATGCATCAGGAGACCCTGCTGTGATAAGGCTGTCAATGAACTGAGTTACCTTTACAACCATAGCTGCATAGGTCACATCAGCTCGCCACAGTTGCGGAATGGACCATCCAACCATTGGATCTGCTTCATCGTTGTATATGGGAACAGAAGCAAAATTGGGAAACAGCTTCTGAATTTGTTCAACTGCTTCTACTTCTTGTTGCAAGATGTAGAGAGAACTCCCACCTCCCTGCAACAATATTTCATATCTGCTTAGTGAAAATGAACAAACAGTAGTAAACACAGGCATAACATACAGACATAAACATATTCCGAAAACGTGCTCCTGGAGCCCCCGAGGAGCTGTGGGCCAGACAGTATTTGTATTTTTACTTAATCCGTTACAGCATGTGCCATTTGCATGAGCTTCTCCTAGAATATAAAATAGAAAAAAGGTAGAGGAGTTGTTTACCCCACGGAGTTACGTAAAGGCAAATTTGCTTTGAGTTGAAGTCTTGCAATGTCTTCAGAGTTTTGTTAGAATAGGTAGCCATGCTTCCTGCTATAGGCTGGACATTCATCTGGAAATCAACTTCATAAATCAGAATAAAATGTAACTTGGAATGAACTGATTAAAAAAATAGCCTTAAACTGAAATCTTGGACTGACCTTCTTATGGAGAGAGATGTAGTCCAGCCTTACACCAGTCTCCCCTGTGAAGAAGTTGGTTCCATTGTAGCAATGACACAGAAGACTCCAGCACATGGGTGATTTGGGTAAGGGATGGAAGGAATCCCCAGGCCCTCCAAATTTTAGTAGAGGACTGGCTGCTCTTAATCCTTCTGAGCAAGCATCGTAATAGTTGAGAAACCCTGAAGTCCAAGCAGATGCACATATCAAAGATGATAACTCAAAATAGAACCTTGATCTAAAACTACAGGGAGATGTTATAACTCTGTTATTGCATTTATTGGCAGGACCTCACAAACTGGGGCTACTGTTTCCTATGCGCTGGCAACACAAGAAGACATCAGCTGTATTCACAAGGTTCTTCCAAAGGTCTTGTGAGGACAGGTTCCCAAAGCATGCACCTGTCAATGAACAATTTTCCTCTTACTGCACTGTCCTGGTTTGGCTAAAACAGGG